ATACTTGCTCTGCTTTCTTATAATAATTATATCCTTCAGGTTCCTAGTAATTTGTTCCAATATTTGAATACCTGCTTTGTTCACCTATTCCATATTTGCATCTGTCTGATTCCTGGTTCTATGCTTAGTCACAAATTTACTGTTGCCTTCACTTGTATGTTTTGTATATGTCCTGCTCTCTTGGTTTTGACCCGTATCCTTGCTCTGACTCTAAGTACCTCGGTGTTCCAATATTGCATATTATTCAGGCGTACATTAGTTAGGATGTTTTAGTAAGATGCACAAAACCCAGTTCAACCTGGATCAGACAGCAAAAGCAATTTATTGGCTTACGTTTTTTGAAAAGTCAGGCTTCAGGAAAGGGTTGATACAGCAATGCTGTGTGTTTCTTACTGACTCTCAAATCTGTCTTTTATGGTGTTGGTTTTATGCTAGACTGGTTGGAGTAGATCTGCCATCAGCAACCTAGGCTAGATTTTTATGTCCGACATAGAGCTTCTTTCACCCGATCACTGAGCAAGAGTCCTGGGCTTTACTATGTTTGGACGAATTCAATTCACAAGCCTCAGACTGAACCCATTGCTTTCATTGAGGGTGGGGTGAAACTCTCCTGATTGTCTTAGGCTGATTAGATTCTGCCCATAGACCTGAGACTGGAGTCAATCCTACTCAAACTGCGTGGTTGCTACACATTGGGAACTGGAATAAGGGGGTTCAGGGCTGAACTGGAGCCAGCTCCTAACAGTTTGCGTGAGCTAATTATGCTCATATTCCTACTTCAGTGTTCACTGACCTTACTGTGGAACTTGAATGAAGACAGCCACAGCGGGAGTATTTCCATGACAGAAACAGGCACGTGTTACAAATCAGTTTCTGTTTGTTTTTTTAGAGCTGGTTTACCAGTTACCACTGATAATGGGAGGCACTCAGTGTAACAAGTTCACAGGCAACAGTCTCTTAACTAGTTTTTCTAACTTCCGAATTGCTCCCCCCAATGCATTCATTCTTTTTTTAATAACAGCTTTACTGAGATATAGTCCACATTCTATAAAATCCATTCCTT